CCTTAACCTCCCGGTCAGGCGGTTTAAAAATAATTAAGGCCTGTAATAAAAACAGAGAAACCTCTTTAGGAGTCTGTGCTAAAATGAAGTTCTCATACCGCTGTGTGTGATTTATTAAAAATCATCTGGTGCTTACCCAGCTGCACGTGTAAGCTCCAGAATTTCTCTTATGATTTTTGGATATCTTGTATCCATGCACTCATAGATTTGCATTTCATATTACTTTGGTTACTTTGAAATTGATTTAAATTGTTTTAGGGTGAAATGATTATAGAACAGACATTTTACAAAAGTAAAATAAAACAATTTAATTCATAAGTTTGAAATTATCATAGAGTTTCTCTATCCTCTACGTTGTCAAAAATATATGTATTTGATACTGGCTGTATGTTTCTCCTGAGTTAGAAGAATTAAATTTGACACTTTACAATTTCAGTATAGTTGAAGTTAGAATGACAAAGGATGAAAAGCTGTCTAGTCCTAGCTAACTGGGCTGGCAGCTGGTCCCAGCTAGCTACATTCAGCTAGCATCAGCTAGCTACCAATCCAGCTAACAAAGCTAGCCAAACTTCAACTATTTTCAGAATTTGTAGGCAACGCCCAAGAGGTGTTGCCTGACCATTGCCTTCCTATGCAACTCCATTTGATGTTCATCTCCCTTCAGTGCTATGCCTGGGATTTCTCCCATTGAACTCAATTTCTCCGGTTCAGCTTCAGCCGCTGAAATCAACGATATTGATTTTCTGCACTGTTTTACAATTTTATTTTGCCTCTGACTGTAGTTTAGCAAAGGCAGTGGAGGTGAAGTGAACAAAGCCGTTCAGTCCGTGTTGATCTCACTTCCAAATATTGAATCAACATTAACACCCATCAGGTTCAGCCTGGCACTTCTCTCTTTGCGGTGAAGGACAGTTGTTTGCAGTGCAGGCACTTTCCAGTAAACTTCATTGCGTCAAACTAGCGCATTACATACGTCACGGTGAAATGTTTGCGATGGTGTAAAATTTAAAACTTTTACACCATCTTGTGTAAAAGTTAGCTGAGGGTCCAGACCCTCGGCTATTAGACAATATGTTGGTATTTACTAGGCTTCAGAGCTGGGTCACTCCCAGGAAACAAACCAGTTTAATGAAACACTTTCAATTCTGCCAAGTCAAAGGACCAGTAACAATTATGCTACAAGTGTGTTGATAGCTACAATAATTGTAGGGTCAAAGTAAGACTCTTATGTTTTAACCAGAACTTTAGTATTGGAGTATTTGAGCCTGTATGTGTTAGTTTGCCTGTGTTTGTGTGTGTGTTTGGTTTGGGAACAAAACCTACATCAAATTCAAACATGTGCATCCAACTCTTGCTTTTAAGCTAAATTCAAGACGTCGCGTCATCATCCCACCCTGAGAAAAGAACCGTTCCAAAGCATGATTAGTAACTATGTAGTTCTTCCAGGTTTATCATTTGTTATGTGTGTTTTAAAATGTGAAATTATTTACCCTCTTCTTTTAGCAAAACCGCCAGATTAAGATAAAAGCTTAATCTCTCTTGCATCATCAAACACGTCCTGTGTTGGGCCTTGGAGCCCAGCTCTTTTCTATTTTTTGCGCTTTTTCTAGGGAAGGTTACTATAAAGCACTACTACGCTCACCGTTTTTCCATTTCCAATCACTTTCAGAGACAACCAACAGAAACATTGTCAGGATTGCTCATGTCCAACAAACACATTGATATTGAAGATGAGTTTCGAGGTGGAGGTTATTTTGGAAGTAATATTTAGTACTGTTCCACCAGCCCAGCTGGCCTGCTGGATTCGTTTCTTCTCTTTCCCTCTTGTGATGCCTCCCACAGCCGTTCTTCTCCTGCGACAGAACGCGGCCAAAGACGGAAGTCTGAGCCGCTCCCATTGGCACGTTGAGTAACAGCTGACAGAACAAGAGAATGACTGTTTCCCTAACAACTGTCTTTGTCTGGCACAGATACGAAGGGATCACTCTGATGGATAATGACTTGATATAGTGTGTCCTTTGGCCAGAGCTGTGTGCCACCGCGGATCATTTTGCTTCATATACCTGCGGGGGGGAAAAGAAAGAAAGAAAGAAAGAGAGAGAGAGGTCAAATGGTGTGGCTGTGGAGCTTTAGAGGGTGGATTGTTTCGGAGATAAAACGGAACTAGCATTTTCCAATCCAACATCAGAACGTTCTCTCTTGCCTGAGTGATGGTTTGCTGGGAACCTCTACCTTTTTTAGTTTTTTCTTGAACGCCATCAACCCCCACGCTTTTCCCTGTATCTCCTTAATTTAATAAACTCTGACACAAGTGTAGCCCGAGATGAAGTGGAATTGGAAGTGAGACTGGGACGTTGTATCCAAGAGCAAAGGCTTTACGTCATGAATGCTTCATCGTCCGGATGAATAGCGGAAGGTGGCGAGGCTTCAGAGTCTGTCGGAATGCGAACTAATGCGCAGAAACGCTTCAACCTGAGTGCAGAGTTGTGTATTTTCATACACGAAGGCTCACCTGATTTGGTAATCTCACATGGATTGCATGACGCAAGTGAAGCCGCGACTGTGTCGTGTCGATTGTTTTGAGTTTTTTTGGGGCAAAAGAGAAACTGACCTTGACAGTCACCTTTTCTCTCGATGTCATAAAAGGCAAGACAAAAAAACCAAACCAAACAGGAAGCAGGAACGTTGCCATAAAAATAACCTCTCAGAGATTGTCTCCTATTTTTGTCAGTGGGTGTACGTGCTAGTGATACCCTCGCTTTACAGCATGCAGTAATTATCCAGAGGCATTAATCACCGATTTTTTTTTTATTTATTTATTTTGGCACAAACCTCATCATGAGCAGAAGATTGGCCTGTGTTTCGTACAGATGAATTCCAAAGCTTTACCAAAAGAAAGAAGCATACTACATTTTTCACCGCGCTCCTTTGTTCTCTTATAGCTACGGTGATGCAGTGAAATATTAATGACAGGACACACATTCATAGCTGTGGTATCTTTGGCTGCGTTTCTCCGCTGCATCCGCTGCTGCTTATGTTGCTTTTCCTGTTGTTTCATAATCAGATCAGCGTTCATATCGCGCCCAAAGCTGCCAAGTGGAAAAAGGAGCAAGCTCAGTCAATGAGATTATGAATGTATGACAGCATCTCTGGTGTGTTGAGAAATGCGGCCTCCTTTGTTGCTTGAATATTGTTTGGAAATGCGTTTCAAGGCCTGCTAAACTTAGCTAGAAAAAAACAAAGCTCTCAATAATGTTTTGTTCACATTTAGCTATTCCCTTTGTAAAAAAAAAAAGAAGAAAAACAATGCTGTTGATCCATTATGTTCATTATATTAATATACATTAATGGATTCATCAGATACTTTAAAAAAATGGTCAGAAATGAATTATTTCTGTTCGACTGAACGTATTTAATAACACATTTAAGAAAGCGTGGTGGATTCTGTGCATTTCTCAGATTAGGATTTATTTCACGACAGTGAGAATAACAACATTTTAATAAAGACAAATTATTTAAAACATCTAAATATAAATCAATATAAATAAGAAATTATATAAAGTGATGACAGAAGAATAATGGAGTTTCCTTTATTTATCCCTACTCTTCTTTAGTGCTAATTATTAGGTTTGCAAAGCAGAAACTATCTACCAACATACATAAATTCAAGTCTACAAACAGAAAGACTACAAATAATCACCATGGCAACATTCCCTACTCAGCTCCTCCAGACTAGCGGTAGCAGCAATCAGCAAACACCTGGTGGAACGGCAAGTCTGCTGAGCTCATCATACAAACTAATTCTGAGTTCAAAGCTCCTAATGTGTTCACACCAAAAGCGTGTTGTGCATCAGGTGCATCTGGTTTACATTCAAAGTCTATGTAGAGGCGCGTCGGGACGCGTTTCGCATATCTAGGGCTGCGCGATTTGAAGCAGTTGTAGCATTCAACTCATCCGACAAATAGGCCTGCAATGGAAAACAATGACTAGAGCGAGTTTGACCCATCTGACCCGACCTGGACGAACCTCCACATGTACTATGAATGTAAACCAGACACCCCTGACGAGTGAAATGCTGTGGAGCAAAATGTCAACCGTCTGCATTCAAAGTGCACACGCGTCTCGAAGTTGAAGCGTCGGGACGCGTTTTTGATGCGCGTAACGCGTCCCGTGTAAACGCACCACTAGAACAGATGCAAACAGCAATGAGAGGCATGGCTATGAGGACTTCTTGAAGGTGAGGTGTCGGAACAAGCAGAAGCTTCTTAAAGAGACAGTGGCCAATTTCAAGGCGTCAAATTGCGAAGTCAGTTTTCTTTTAAGTAATGTTTGATATATGCAACCTTTTTATAACACTTGAAGGTAACATAGTTGCTTGATTGTGATTGAAAATGGCGCAATTTTACAGCACAATCAAGTGCTGCAAAATTGTCTCGATCTGAATATGAAAACTTGAGACGTTACAACAGGCTGGTCATCGAACAAGAACAGATCTCAGTTCAGCAAATAAAGCCTGTCATGTTAAACAACCAGCAATGAAAGCAGCTAGAAAAAGACCAACATGTCAACAGCGTATAATTATGGATACAATGCATTCAAAAGCCTGTGGCTGTTTTTACATTCAAGGTTTCAAATGCTGAATCACCCAACTGAACAACAAGGCAAAGAAACATAAAAGATAGACATTATTAAAACATATGGCTTACCATCAACATGTTAAAACTTTTTTTAAACAGTAAGACCAGTCATAAAGGGGAACATTAATATATTCAATGAGATTCAAAGCATAATAAATCAAGGACATAAACAAAACACGTTTCATAGATTGAGATGCATCTTCTGTGTGTCATAAGATGCTCTGGTGGGTAAATAATCATAAATAAAAACATTAGGAACATTTTAAAGGGCCTTGAAGGAAAGGTAGTTCTTGAGGTTGAGGTGTTTGTGTTGAATATAACACACCATGTTGATTTTTTTTTTCTTTTTTTTTGTCTCATAGGAGTTTTGTTTTTCTTAACATTTGGAGTCCTTGGCATCGCCCTGACTGTCTGGCAGCTGCCTGTTCAGGATGCTGCAGCTGAACCTGTGATGGACACCAGGGCTTGATATTTGGTGAGTTTTGTCTGAATATCTACACACTGACAGTGAGCGGTTTCACGCCCCGTGCACCGTGAGCTCTGGCAGCTCAGAAAAAATAAATAAATAAATAAAAGTGAAAAATGCAGTGTCAAGCTCCGGTGGGACAGTATGGGAACTTAACACAGACTGTCGAGCAAAACTGCAGGTGCCAGAAGAAGTGGGTCAAATGATTTTAATGCCGGTGTCCAGCGTTACTCAGCAGGTTGAGGCACAGAAAATGTCTGCTGTTGTGCATATGTGGGGAATAAACAGACACAAGAGACTGCCTGGTAATAGATCCGCAATAAACAGAAATTAATATTCTGAAATGCAAACACCACAGTGATGTGCATTAGGAGGGGTGAGTGGATTACATCTGGCTAATTAAAGTTGATTTGTTCATAATGCTTCTTGCTTACGGCAGATTGAATAGCTGTTTTTAGACAGAATTCAGAGCTTGGTTTTATTTTCGTGAGTAAAACATGCTGCGTTACCCTTCATGTCATTAAGCAATAAACAGTTCTGTGAAAACTTTTCATATATTGATTAAAAGTATGAGGTTTTATGTTTTATTAATTTAATTTAGCATTTTTTTTAACAATGATGAATGATTATTCATAAAATAAATATTAATTTGAACAATGTACAGGTAAAAGTGAATCATATATGGAGATGATTCATATAATTTAATATATGATAAGATGGAGAGCTCACCGTATAGTGTTTGTTTTGTTTTGCTCTTTTGCAATGCATCAATGTTTGGGGTTTGCGTTTGTATTTCTGAAAAGATGGAAATTTAATGCAAAATGTTAATTGGAAAACAAAAAAACTACAGTAAATTAACAAAAAGTAATAATTGTGCAAATATAAACTTGCAATGGATTTTCTTCTATTCCAAACAAGGTCAGGATCCATTTCAACCTCAGATCTTTTCTGCTCTTTTGATAAATTTTCAATACAGTTAAGGTGTTTGGTTTCCAAAAGCCAAATGGTCTTCCTCATTTATTCCAAAATCAGTTTTGATGTTTGTTTGAGGATAATTGCTTCACCGGAACATTTGATTATCTCGAAACTAAGCAGATCTTTAGGATGATTCTGACACTACAGTGCTTAATAATACAAAACTTTCAGGTCTACCAACTTCACCTTTATGCCTCTGGTCATTGCTTCTAAATACTTTTTGTTTTTCCCCTTGGAAATATAGACTAAAATATGTCCAAGCACAATGACCCTACAGACACTTCAGAGCTGGTTTTGGAATAAATAAATCGCTCTAACCTCAATAATTCTTGAGGTTAAAAGCCAATATGTGGCCTATGATTAAAAGTAAGGTCAACAGCAAGAAACCAACTCACTTAATACACCTTCATCGATTCTAACAAGATGAGCAGACTGCTTTTCCTTGCAGGGTCGCTGGGAGTCATCGATCTATCTTACGAGCCAAATTGTTGTTTATAAAATTAATTGAAGTTGGTTAATGAACCCAAGAAAATGGTTTAAATAAAACAAAAGCACATCATTAATTAGGAGATTAATGCCGATGAGTGCATGTCATACGATGCACATAATGATGATTTTAGTCTGTAAAAACGCAGTTAGTTTTTACAGACTAGATTCAGTGTGCTCAGATTTATGACAACTCGTGTTCCTTCTACGCATTCACTAAAGAAGGAAATGCAAAAAAAAAAAAAAAAAGCTCCGAAGTGGAAGAGATGCAGACTAACTGCTACAAAGTGATCCTTAAATCTTTGGGATTTTGATGTAGTAGCTGCTCATGAAGTCTCATCAACTTGGCAGCAACATGATTTGTGGATGCCGGCTTTCAAGAGATTTGTATCCCACTGCGAGAGATTTCAAATATGTAAAGATTAAAGGATTTTCCTCCAAACAAACAAACAAACAAACGATGTCCAACAATATGGGATGTAAGCATGCTATCTATAAAATGAAAGGCAAATCAGTATGACTCTTCTCGTCCTATAATGTATTTTCCAAACTTTCTTATTATCAATATTATTGATTAAAAAAATTAGAAAAAAAACAGGTGTCACTTATTCAGCAGACAACATACTGAATTAAAGAGATAAGATGAGATTGAGCTATATTCTGGGATAACACTTCTTTTTAATAAGAGAAAATGGTTTAAATAATTAGTCGTGTTTTCAAATAATCTAATCAGTAAATAATTACACAGTTATGGAGTAATCAGTCTAATTATTATTATTATTTTTAAACTACTGGTTATCAAATGCAATCCAGACTGAAATAGCTCTTAGTTAAACGTTAGCATTGTTAGCGGCTAACTTTTTGGCAAATCATGATATTCTCCCAGAATTACAAATCATCTTATCTGTCACTTAGTCACTATATTTTACTTCTTACTTTCTACCATGCAAAGATTTTAGAAGAGGAAGTTTCAACAGTGGGTTTGCTCCCAGTTGTTGCCAGCTAACCTAAATAGTCATTATTGGCTAATTTTGCTAATAACTATACAATAGTGCAATAGTGTGACCTAAAAAACATTTAAATTCAAAATATTTAAATCTCAAACACATATGTTGAGCTTAAGTCACATGTTTTCACTTCAAGGTAATAACAATCACTGAGACTAACTTCAAAAGTCTAAGTCTCAGACTTACGTATATCCAGTCCATATGCGGTGATGATGAGCTCCCTCGTAAAGTTGCCGTGCAACCGACTGTATCTTAGATTGGCTATAAAATGGGGGGGAAAAAAGCCGGCAGCACTAGATAAACACTATTCTAAATGGCACAGTACAGTGTAAAATCTTAAGTTAAAACTCTGTGCACAAAATGATAGAGTAAATGATCCTTGCAGTCTCTTCGGAGGCCAGTCAGCTCAGAGTAACCGTATGCATGCGAGGTACAGTGATTACGTGGATCTATGTCAGTGTTTCCCAACGCTGGTCCTCTGAGACACGCTGTCCTGCATGTTTTGGGTGTGTCCTTGCTTCGGTCCCAACTGATTTCCATTGACGGCATTTGCTGGACTGCGATTACCTGAATCAGGAGTATAAAAGCAGGGGAGGGTTGGGAAACAGTGATCTACGTGGTACACTCTGACCAGGTTCTGCACTGTTACCTTTCTGCTGCATCTGATCCACTTTGCTTCTAGTGACTTTGCATTGCTGAGTGTATTCCCTGGTCTCCTGGGGAAATGTGTGAGGAATTGTGATGATGTGTGTAAACCTCTGACCCTCTGTGGTCTGGACCTTTGTGGTATTATTGGTCAGGGACTGAACAGAAAAATATGATGGCTGCCACTTGTCCTCCTCTGGTTCAAAGGGAACGCCAGAGCAAAGCTAATTACCCAGCTTGTGTAACAGCATTGGACATAACAACACTTCCCCCCTCCCTCTCCTCCTCCTCATTGTATGCATAGCGAGCAGCATCTACAACAGCCTGCATAACTCTGCATATTTTGACATCTTGCAGTTTGTGTGTCCCCAAAACCATTTATTCCCATCATTAAGTCTGTTTTTCTTTGATAAATTAAATTCATCCTTTCCTGACGACAGAAAAAAAGGCAACTCTTGCTTGTGCACACATTGGGCATATGCCCAGATGCTCTTTTAAGCATTTTTTTAAAAATCCTACTTGTCAATTCTGAGGGCAGTAAGGTGGCCAGCAAGCAGCTTCTCCACCTTTATCCTCCGTTGCTCACATTTATGGCACTACAAACTGCAGTGACGCTCTTCTGCACGCATACTCTGAATATTATTATTTTTAATAACGAGGGTGGGAGGAGGGGGTCAAGGTATTATCTTAAAATTCAAGTGCACATCCGTCTTCTCCTTCCCGAACCCCGTCTCGTGTCTCGGGGTCTACTTTTCTTGTCAGAGCGATCTGAATCTTCGCTGGCAAGTCTTTCCTGGAATACCAAGTGCCGAGATCAGTGACAGAGGGGGGTGTGGAGTGAGAAGCTCGGGGACATTCTTGAGGCTTCAGAAGAAGATATCACCTCCATCTCTGCACCTGATACTTGTTACCGTGGGCTCTAATCATCTGAAGAAATTAAGCGACACACCAGGGCGATTCCCGCCTCTTAGAACAACGTCTGTGAAAATCTAAATGGGGGGGGTGGAGCGGCGGAGGGGGGAAATCTGGTGAAATGACACGCACCTGCAAGCGCGCAAAGTGGCATGCAGCAGACGCCTGGCTCTGGGGGGAGCCGTGCTCGCCGTCTTGGACCGGTCTCCGTTTTTCTTTTTTTGTTCCCCTCCCCTGTCAGTCAGATATCTTTTTGTTCGCCACAGACACTCTCAGCGTTGGCAAACACATTGAACGCTGAGTCACTTAAACATCCACATCTTGACAGGCAGCTGATTCACTGTCCATTGATTTCCTCGTACATCATATTCTTTTGCCATCTTTGTAGCGTGCAGGGTGGGGGGGATGAGTGGGGGCTTTGTTTGAGCCTTTCTGCACACGTGTCTGTCTTTGAGCACTCTGGTTTGCACATTAAAAACGTGACGCCGTCCCTAATGAGTCATGGAGGTGCAACTTTATCCCATAAGTATCCTCATTAGTTACAAGGCCCCACAACTGAGTTTTAGAAATCCATTTATGTTCATGGCCAAGAATAGCACGGTAAGTGAGAGCAAAAGCAAGCCTCCGAAACAAAAAGGAGTGTGTGATCCGTGTAGACATCCTCAAACCCTCCAGTTTATTCATTCTGAATAAAATATGGATTGCTGTTTGATTTAAACTTGCACTTCATGGCTTGAATACAAAAAAGGCAAGTTTTTCATATAAGAAAGCAACAACAGATTTATTATTTTTTTTTGTATACTTGTGACTCACTTTTCATACATTTCGTTTTATTCGCCTGTGCAGAAATTGGTGGGGCGTCGCAAATTGCAGAGCAGGAGAGAGTCTCGTCTTTCAGACCCGGCAAATTTTCACCAATCGTTGCAACTTTTCCGCAAACCTGACCAATCACTTTAGCGCTTCCTGTATTTCCTTCTATCTGAC